CCCTGCTTTTAAGACCTTCCAACTGATTAAGTCTAGCTCACCCAGATTATCTGGGATAATCCCTTTTACTTGAAGTCCATTGATTAGGGACTTTAATTACATCTGCAAAATCCCTCCAGAGCAACACCTAGATTAATGTTTGGTTGAATAACTGGGAACTTCAGCCTTGCCATTTAATACTTCAAGAAAGCAAGTTATCACAGCAAGGTTAAAGACATTCCTTTATAACCTGAAACAAGTTCAGTAAACGGTTAATGATCTCTCAGATGTATCACATAATCATTGCAGACTCACTCACATTATCGTATGACAACATTATGCCATTAACCTAGCAGATGTTGTTACTCTGAATAGTAAGATGAATTGATTACCATTATCCATTTAGAAGGTGTTAGGTTAATGACATAATTTTTGTGACATAAAAGAGTTTGCCAATGAAGCCAAGAAGGTTGCTTAATGGGCCTCATCTACAAAGATCCTTGTGAGTATTAGTAGTTGCTGGGTGTTTTAGTGTTCCAGGGGAAAAGTGGAAGCCAGACTGCAAGTGGGAAGCATTTCTGGGTAAGCATTTCAGGTGCCTTTCCAAAGAGAGATCTCAGAAGAAAAGGATCCAACGCTACAAAACTCCAATAGTTTGCTGAGATTGATTTTCTCATCCTGAATAAATAGCTATTTTTATGAATAATTATGTATTTGTAATTATATATATATATTTTTAGAGAGGTCCCCAAATTGTAAGCTTTGGGCCCAGGAAACAGGGATCTGTCCCTGTATATGAATTTTTTATCATCTGTTTTTTTAACTCAAAAAAATTATTCAGGTAAGACTGACTCTCTTTAGATATACAAGGGCCTAACAGTTAGTTAGTGGTTTCACTGCCCTGAAACCCAGTCAGTTATGATGAAAATTCCTCATCTAGTTGAGAGACATATCTCAGTAAAACAGAGTTTATTTCAAAAGGAACAGTCTCCCTTTCACAGTGGATCTCAGGAGAGCTCTAAGGCATTTAGAATGCCTTGTGATTCTCAAATGCTAATCTGAAGTCATATGGGACAGAATTAACTGCTAATGTAGGGAAATCCATAGACCTTGTCCTGCTGGTATTAGGCAAATGCATAGTATTTTCATTTGTAGCTTTGCTTAAGAGGTAGTTCCAGGTTTATTCATTTTTGTCCTATTGCTAGAAAACAAAATACACACTAATCAAATATTAGAACATATAAAAAATTATCCAGTGAGAAGTCTCCCTCCCTTCCGCGATATGGGCTTGTCCAGTTCCCAGTATCATCTATTTCTGGCACCCACTTCTTCGAGTTTCTGTGTATCTGTATCTTCTGAGTGTTTCTGTATGCATTGATGATTTTAGATTTTGACCTCTGCTTTCTTTGGGTTTGGATCTGTTTGCTATGCTTATCCAATCGTTCTATTTCAAATTTTTGGAATCGCTCCATTTTAGATGTGTGTTGAGTTTTGCTTTTGATCCAACTAAAAAATGTTTTTTTTATCATGAAATTGGGCACATTTAAATTTATCAATATATTAGATATTTTGGTTTTGTATTTCTCACACTCTTTTATGCCATATATTGTTTATATATTTTTTAAATTTTTCACTGGATCTGTAATTTTTTTGTTGCTTTTATTTCAGAAGGGTCTTATATATTTGTTCCAGTGGTACCTTTATACTCATAGGTTTATATAATTCTTCTAGCCCTTCAGTTTTCTAGAACAGTAACTGTTACATTCATGCAGACTGATGATAAAATGAGCATGTTTCTTCATTCCTCTCCTCCTCTTCTGCTACCTAATTTTATCCAATAATTCGATCTTTCTTTTAGCTTATTTTATTTTGTTAAATTTACTTCGACAGCTATTACTTGACTTGTTGGTTTAAGTTCTTTGCCTCTTAACTGTCACTGATTTATCATGAATGAAGCTTCTTCTCCCTTACCCCTCCAGTTTTTGTTAATTGTATCATTTCTATATTGTCAGGCATGCGGCTTCTACCTTCTGTTTTGTTATCCTAAACTTTGTATTATTTTAATCTCACTTCTACATTTAAAAATATTCAGGTCTCACCACTAAATCTTTTTCTAAATTTTCCTCAGTCATTTATCAGTTTATTTTGTAGTAATTTTCTCAAAAAGTTCTCTTAGAAACACTAGTCCCCGAATTCCCCGCATGTTGAAACTATTTGTAACTTTTAAATTTGCGGCACAGCTTGGCATGTATTATACCCACACCTCACACGTTCTTTCCTTGGCTTCCTTGTTGGTGTTGCTTTACTGTCTTCTGGTATCGATCATTACTCTGAAGATAGCTAATGTAAGATATCCATTTTTCTCCTTTTGAGCGACTTGATCATTTTGTCTGGCTGCCAAATGATGGTCTTTGAAGTCTAATTATTTTACTAAGATATGCTTTGTTGGACTATTCTGACTCTTCCTCCTGGTGCCACAGTATGTCCTTCCTATATATGTCAGATTGTCTCTAATTTAAGGAAAACTTCATACATGATGCCTTCCAATATTCTGCTCTGGTGTTCTTTCTTAAGGACTCATCTGTTGTGTTTGTTGGATCTATTTCTTTTCCAGTATCACTTTCCTCTCTCTTCTTCTCTTACGTTTCATCTTGTTATATTTGTTTTTCTCATTTGTGAACTCTGCTCCCCGTTATGTTACCCCACAGTCTATTCTCGCTTGAGGGATTTTTCCTGAGTTCTGCTAGCTCACTTTCCTCACTTCCTGTTGTGCCATTTCCTGACTTCTTTCACTTCTGCTCTGTGATCTTTCTTTATGGAGGTAAGAGCTCTTTCAAGTTTTAAAATTTAATTTGTGACAAAGTGCTCAGTAACGATATATATCTGGCCAGTGGCAACATTTTTCTGGTGGTGGTCTGTGTATTGATTAGTTCTGTTCTTTTTAAAATTTGTTTTGTTTTGGGCACCTGGGTGGCTCAGTTGGTTGAGTGACTGCCTTCGGCTCAGGTCATGATCCTCGAGTCCCGGGATCGGGTCCCACATCGGGCTCCCTGCTCAGCAGGTAGTCTGCTTCTCCCTCTGACCCTCCTCCCTCTCGTGCTCTCTATCTCTCATTCTCTCTCTCTCAAATAAATAAATAAAATCTTAAAAAAGAAAATTGTTTTAAAATTTGTTTTGTTTTGTTTATAATATTGCTTATAGTCGTCTGTGTCCCTGCTATGCCAGTTTTTTTTTTTAATTTTTATTTCCTCTCTTAATTAGTTAGTCTTAATGAGTTGGGTTTTTTAGACTTGAAATTTGTAGTAGGTCCCTAGGTGAGAGCTTGTGACATAGGATTGGAATGGCCTTCAATTTTTACAACCTGCAGGGGCAGACTATTGTTAGCAAAAAATGGCTCATGTGCATGATTCTTTATGTAGTCCTCCCTTACCGATTTCTCTGGACACAACGATGTGTTGTAGAGGGCTTTTGCTTCCAGCCTTGTTCACCTCTGTTTACATCCATGGATATGAATGAAACATAAAGCATTTGTACTTCAGGGTGAGCCCCTCACCTTTAGTGAGTATTTTTTTTTTTGCTAGAACTTTCTGAGATGCTGTTGCTGCTGGCCTTCTTGCACTTTCCATACTCATCACTTTATTTTGTGTAACTTCTTTCCACTGTCAGCTCTTTGGCTGCCTGTCTTCATATTTTGCAGACTTTAGGTTACCTCTATCTTTGGGCTTTACTCACGTGGAGTCTGTGTGCCAAATTATACTTTTCTCATTTTCCCAGTTGCTCTTGTATAACATCCAAGAGAAAAAGGGGAAAGATATTGACTTATACAATCATGTTTGTATGGTAAGTGGAGAGGGTTTTTTTTTTAATCCAAATATATAAAGATGGCACGATACTGTGAAGTTGTTCAACATTTATGTAGTTTATGTCATATTCCTTGGGCTTGGCATAAAAATTGTTCCTTTTTCCTGCTCTAACCTCATTCTCTCTATATTTTTGAACTTTGGTCACATTGTATTGAATTATTCAGAATTACCCGAATAGTAGCTCTTGTTTCTCCACATTTGTATTTACTTTGTTCCCTCTAGTTGACATTTCCTTTACGCCTTGCCAACTCTTCCTCACGTCCATGGTCCTTATTATCAATTTCAAATCCTACCCTGACTTCAACATCTACCTCAAATAGTGTCTAATTCTTAAAGCTTTTCCTCTGATCTCTGCCTATTCTCATAGTCTCTTGATATGTTTCACCACAATTTCTGTTGCTCATATTTTCTTAGAACTGTATCTTATTGTCCTTGATATTTTGGTTATTTGGGCACTATTCCTACTCTCTACCAGTTGGAAGAAAGCCTGCAACTTAGTCATATTTGTGCCCCACTTACGCCTGAGCATAGAACATTGTGCATAATATACATTCAGTAAACATTTGTTGAAATGATAAAATTAAGCAAAAGGCCAAAATTATTTTCTTGAATGCATGGCACAATTTCCTCCTACTTCTCACTGATGCATAATATAGTCACTCATGGGGATAATTTGGCTCTTTTTTTTCCTGAAGCCACAGATCCCTGCAGATCAAAGTCTCTTACAAGGACGTGATTGCAGATGCACTTGTTTAGTCATGCAGACAGCCAAACTGTGTTTTGATTATTTTAATTGTCTTATTTCAATACAGAATAATTTGTTCTTGGCTTTTTATGAGTCTTTGATAGCTGTTAAGTAGATTAAAAAGCAAAAATGGGAAACACAAGCTTCTTTAGTCTTCTACTGTGAAATGGTGGATCTCTATCAGGATATAAATACATTAATAGAACAAACTCTGTTAAAATTTAGCTTTTTAATTTAAAATGAAGTAAAGGAATAGCAGGAGCTTCAGAGAAAATTCCCCCAAATACGTCCTTGGTTTTAGAAACCTACAAATTTTCGGATGAATTGAAACGAGAATTTTCTCCCCACTATTTCATTTAATTGGGTCTCTTACCAAGTATAATTTCCATGTCATTTTCTTCATCATTTTGTAGCTTTGAAAGCTGTATTTGATGAGAAAAACCTGTTCCCCAAAGAAATTCTGGATCGGGAACGAAGAGCCAAGCAATTATGTCAAGAAACAAGTAGTGAAGTGAAGATAAAAAGAAATAAGAAGCAATTATAATTGAAAGAGAAATAAATATTTCATTGTCACATGAAGTATGAATATAGAAGGCAGATAAGAAATCCAGAATTCTGCGCCTTTCTTTTACTTTACTTTTAAACTTCAGGAAGTTTTGTTTTCAGACAATGTCTTAATGTTGCTTTTATCCATCACCTTTCACTTTCTGTGTATTCTTAATAAAAGATAGATTGGACTAAACGGGGCAATAACAACTGGCATCGTTTATTCCCAAGTGGTCTTATGTAAAAATGTACATTTTCAGAACAATGTATTCTAACCAGTTTCACTTCTGGTTGCTTTGATAGACAAATATTTTTGATCAATTTTTATTGTAAAAGCTGCCTTGAAGTTAAATATGAAAAACACTAACACAGTGACTATCTACAGACTTAACTGAGAAAGCCATTTCCATATATTTACACACTTTCTAGTTTCTTGTAATTTTTTTTAAAGATTTTATTTATTAGAGCATGAGCATGGGATGGGGGAGAGGCAGAGGCAGAGGGAGAAGCAGACTCCCCACTGAGTAGGGAGCCAGGACCCTGGGATCATTACCTGAGCCGAAGGCAGATGCTTAACCGACTGAGCCACCCAGGTGCCCCTCTAGTTTCTTTTAAATGATTCTGATAATGCAGTTAGACCTTGTCAGCAGCAGCTGTTCCTATTTATTTTCACAGACTTACATCTATTCTTACATGTACTTACTGAGAAATTACTGCATATGTTCTACTCCTGTGTTTTGTTTTACCATATTCTTGAGTGGCATAGCACAACCAAAGAGGTAATATGCTTGGAAATAAAAAAAATCAAAGAGACTGAGACTATATATATGACACATTCTATGTAGAAGCTCAAGTAGGAAATGTTTGGTTCTGAAACAATGCCTCACTTTTTTGATCCATTTTTCTTTATAAATATCATCTACCAGGTAACCAGTATTCTTATGCTGTTTTATTTATTGGGTTCTGTAGGAGTAATTAATAAATTCATTCATATAACTTTAATTATCGACTACACATTTGCATTTTAAAGAGTTCTTGCAAAAATATTGATATTTTAAGGAGAATTTTGCCCTAACACACACAAGTAAAGGAAATAACAATATATAGGAACCTACTCTGTTCAGCAACGGCAAAACTTCATTGGTTTAAGCCTCCCAAGAATCATATATCTATTATAGGGTTAAAATCTGAGCTTTGGATCTGTTAGAAGAATGCCCAAGTGTCCATGGCAGAGTTGAGATTGGAGCCCAGGTCTGTTTTACTCCAAAGACCATGGTTCTGCGCTTCAACTTTCTCTTCACTTCTTTTTACTAGTATAGAGTCAATGGAATGAGCCCCAGCAATAGAATTTCCAGAATCAGTGAAGCAAATGTTTTAGTTGGTGGAGAGGGTGGTGGAGGAAAGGTTTTCAGAAGGCACTGCCTATTCCAGCTACATGTAGGTGCATCCTGGTCAGGCACTGTGACTTCTATGTATACTGCTTTTCTCTCCTCTTGAATGGCAATCACATATGGGAAAGATATAAAAGAAATCTATATTTGCATACATCAATCAACAAATGTTGGAGAATGTTATCAGACTGATAAAGGCTCTGGAAACCATGTTGCAGAGGAACAGGTAAAGAAATGGGGAAATCTGGCATAAGAAAGAGGCTTCATGGGAGATATAACCTATTCTCAAATATTTCAAAGCTGCCATGAAGAAAAAGAGTAGCAGTTGAACCAGTGGACACAATTTTCAGAAGGCAGATTCTAGAACTGCTTCTTAATACCTACTAAAACAGGAAGAGATGTCTCATCTTCCCTCTCCTTCCCATCTTGGTGCAGAGGAGCTGGTGGTAGGCTTGTGCCTGGCTGTGAAAAGAAGGAGGAGGAACTGAGAGAAGACCTAGCAGAGATATACTCACTGGATCCAAGAGCCTGGGACTGGGCAGTGGGAGAGGGATTTAGGTGGTAGAAAGGCAGAGAGGGTAAGTGGAGGAGATGGCCAGCATAGAAGAGAGGTTGGTTACATTGAGCAAATCAATACTGAGTAAGTAAATGAATAAATCAGTGGATATATTGAAGATGAGAGGCAAGTATCTCACTTGTATAGAAGATATTTATAAAATTTCAGAGGAAAACGAGAAAGAACCTGGAGATCTTAGATTGGGTTTAGAGATACCAGTGTGAATTTATGGTTGTAAATAGACAGACAGAGACAGAGACAGAGAAAGGGAAAGAAGAAGGAAGGAGGTAGGGAGGGAGGGAGGAAGAAAAAGAAAGAAAAAAAGATAAAAAAAGAAAAAGGAGGGAGGAAGGAAGAAAGAAATGTTTAAGAGGGATTAAAAAAGAGCTTGCTCTCAAATGATTCAGAAAATACTAAATATAATGTATGTGTGTATACACATATACCATATATATGTATCTAATACATGTATATAATGTATATGAGTTTTTATATTTTTTATACCTATATGAGAGGAATAGGGAGAGAAAGATTAGATATTAGATTGAGCACACATATGTGGCAGAATGTTAACAATCGGGGAAACACAGAAGGAGAGATGGTAGTTCTTTGTATTATACCAGCAACTTTTCTGTAAGTCTGAAAGTATTTCAAAGTAAATTATTTTTTAAAAATGAAAAAGGTTGCCTTGGGACAAAGGATTTCTTGAGATGCTCTAGCAGAAGCCGAGTAACTCTCTCACAGGGATATTGCAGAGAATTCTTCCACTGGTTGGGAGGTCTGATTAGGTAATCCATCATTTCAAAGTTAGAGCATATGATTTATGAATCATAGACGGATGACAGTACAGTGGAGTGAAATTTGAGTCACATTTCCAGAAATTTAGAGGAATATTAAGATGTTAAAGAGATGTAATATGGGTACCGAATACTTTGCGTAGGCTCTGCTCCCCTCCCATATACCCACCCATCCATCTGTTCATCCATTCATCCATTCATCCATCCGCCCAACCAATTATTTAAGACATGTGTAAGGGACTGTTATAGACACCAGGTATATGCATATCAATAGAATACACTTCTGCCATCAGCTTTCTGGAGTGAAGGCACCTAAAATGCAGTGGTTTACTAAGCAAAGTTGAATGAGCCCACTAGTTTTTCTGGAATAAATTGGAAATTCTTTTGCTAGATATATTTTACTTTTTTTACCCTTGGAAATGACTTTGTTTGAAATGATGAGTCTGAAATAGTCTCGTTTATATAGACAGGCTTCTCTCTATAGCCTACCTCGTGTGCAAGGCACTGTGCTGTGTGTAACCGTAATCCCATCTTTAAAAACTTCAGGGCCTCTTCTGGGAAAGGAATTAAGAGGAGCTGTCTCACAAGTATATTTAATGAGAATGGAACTTTTAAAGGTATGAAAGTCTCTTTTAATGTTATTGTTTCTAATAGTCTAGAACAAAAATGCACACAAAAGGAAAAAATAAAAAGACATTTATTTATTATGTCTTACTCTACTATCTTACAGCATCTAATTGTGCTAGGCAAGTAGTAGGTCTCACCTATCAAATGCTGAGAGAATTGAAGACTTTTTAAGTTATTTCCGAAATTAACACTTAGGTTCAATTATCTAAGATCCATTTTCTACATTGAGAGGGACTTGTCACATTAAAATAGAATGTAGACTACTTTGTTTGTAGTATGTAGATTTACACTAAATATAATTTAACCTGTTATCTTTTCAGAACATTTTCCTCTTAACCACACAAAATAAATGAAGCAAACTGACAGAGGAAAAAAATGCCTGAAATTAATCCATGCTCAAATGGAAGAATTAGCTTTTCAGTCCTTTATTAATGAGAACATTTGCTTGTATGTTTTTAAAGTTTGGAATTAAATACACTTTTACTTAAAAAAAACTACAAAATGCTAAGAAAGATGATGATATTGAACCCATAACCTCTTGCTATTATTTTTATACATATTCCCAGGTTTATTTTTTACAGTAGGGAAGTGATGGTGCTCAAATTTATACCAAGATACTTTGACTCTTACTAATAAATACATAT